TTCAAAAAGTAAATAGTTCTTATCTCAGTTTTACTAGCTTCCTTGTCTTTTTTCTCCGATTCTCCCCCTCTGCTGGAGGAGGCGAGGGGAGATCTGTGAGAGAGTCTTCGTGGTCTTGTGCTAGCCAGAGTTAAACCACAACACCATCCCATCCCATCCCGTCCCACACTCACCCATGGCGTCTCTGTGGCGACCATGCGGAGCAGGAAGCTGAGTCGGTTTTACCTGGCTGGAGGGGTGTCCAGCCTGAAAGTTATAGGTCTCAGCAGGTGAAGGGGTGGAGGCACAAGACCCCAGCCACAGCACTTGTTCTCTGGTTGGCAATAGGACTAGTGGTTTATAGCTTATTTGCTCTTCATCATTAAGCGATATGTCCTCAATGAAGGCTGTAGCTCATAAAGGTGAAGAGCTTTCTTCAGAGGCAAAGCAAATAATTTTTTGCCAATAAGCAAATGCCTTAAAACAATTACGATTTACAGTGCCTGGCTGTCCCCTTGCCCTCGGAGGGTTTCCCTGGGGAACGGCATCCTCTGGGCACCTCTGCACATTTCAACTCGTAAGTAAATACCCAGATGACATTCCACTTCCTGGATGAAAATCAAACATCAGGCGTAAATCACTCTCTCCAGAGCAGGCATCAAGCCCAACAGCCACTGGAGACCCTATTAGGCCCTTCACGAAAGAGGTACTCTAGTGTTCCTGGCAAATTGTGCACCGAACTTCAGAAAGTGCCACTTTAGGTGCCTCCTGACACGCCTGGCCTGCCGCCACCACCATGCTCCCTCTTGTGCAATGTGCACTGTGGTCTCTCCTAGCACCATAGCCCTTGCAGCAGTCACCAGGGTGTTTTGGGAATTGTGACATCAGACTGATGTAAAATGGTCTCACTTCACACCCCTCTCCACTACTAGGAGTGCTTACAACGTGGTTTTCTTACAGACAATGCTAGACCATTCTTTTTGATACCTGCAGTATTCTGAGTTATGAGGACTCCTGTACCCCACCTTGTGCTGGACAGGGCAAGAGGAGGAGCAGGCTGGGTGTCCAGTCCCACATGGGACCTTCTCCTGGGCCCATGTTTCGTCTTGGCCCTGGGCCTTCAGTCCTAATTTGAGCCACACTGTATGAGTACTGGTCTCTAGTCATAGCATCATATGGTTTAGGTTGAAAGGGACCTTAAAGACCATCTAGTTCCAACCCCCTGGCCATGGGCAGGGACACCTTGCACTAGACCAGGTTGCTCAAAGCCTCATCCAGCCTGGCCTTGGACACTTCCAGGGATGGGGCATCCACAGCTTCTCTGGCCAACCTGTGCCAGTGCCTCTGCCCCCTCTTCATGAAGAATTTCTCCCTGATGTCCAATCTAAATCTACCCTCTTTCAATTTAAACCTGTCACCCCTTGTCCTGTCACTCCCTGCCTTTGTAAGAAGTCCCTCCCCAGCTTTCTTGTAGGCCCCCTTCAGGAATTGGAAGGCTGCTTTATAGCCCACAGAGCCTTCCCAGACCCTTCTCTTCTCCAGGCTGAACAAGCCCAATTCTCTCAGCCTTTCATCATGGCAGAGGTGCTCCAGCCCTCTGATCATCTTCGTGGCCTCCTCTGGACTTGCTCCTACTGGTCTATATCCTTCTGATGCTGGGGGCCCAGAGATAGACGTGGGACTCCAGGTGGGGTCTCACAAGAGCAGAGCAGAGGGGTAGAATCTTCTCCCTCACCCTGCTGGCCACACTTCTGAAACAGCCCAGGATACGGTTGGCTTTCTGGGCTGCCAGCACACACTGCTGGCTCATGTCTAGCTTTTCGTCCACCATTACCCCCAGCTCTGATGGGTCTCCAGCCTGTCAAGGTCCCTCTGGACGGTATCCCTTCCCTCCATTGTGTCACTGCACTACACAGCTTGGTGTCATCAGCAAACTTGCTGAGGGTGTACTCAATTCCACTGTCCATGTCACTGACAAAGATGTTGAACAGCACTGGTCCCAATCCTGACCCCTGAGGAATGCCACTTGTTACTGGTCTCTACTCAAACATTGAATGAACAGTCCCCTCTCTGTCATTGTTTTCTGGATGGATTTTAGACATACACTATAGATAACATTTCCTGGATGGACCCTCAGATCCATGTTGCAGCTTATCTCCAGCCCTGACTTTTACACTGTGTGTCCTTTTGGCAAGGATCTTGGACATGGTTTACTGCTTTCATGCCTGGAGCTGTTGCCAACACTCAGGTCTGCCTGGTGTGCTCAGACACGACAGGACAGAGCCCCAGCAGCATGGGCATTGCTCCCTCAGGGTTCATCCTTGCCTGCTGACCTGCCTGCCCATGAGGAGCAGCCAGCTTTTGCTACTCCTAGAGAGCTAGCTCATGGCTTTGTTCTCCTCCCTTGAGTCTTGCACAGTGCCCCCTGCTCTGCCTCGCTGGAATGCAACCACTGGTTGTTGTCCTCAGCTCTGCTTTCAACCTGTATCTGCTCATAGACCTCTTGCAACTGTCTTCTTAGAAAGGGGTTCCATGTCAGCATGATTTAGAAGACCTTTGTTTGATAGCTTTGAAGACACCCCCACTGGCATATTTGAGCTAAAGTCAAAACCAGGGCATCTGCTGGACTGTAGAAATGCTGTCCTGATGACATACTGTTTCTTGGAAGGAAATTCCATTTGCACCTATTTGGACCAGCCCTGTGGAGCCTGCTGTATGCAAGGATCAGGGACGACTTCCCCTCTCTCCATGACCTGTGGGTTCCATGTTCCCATTGCCTCTGGCAGTCCTGCTGTCAGCAGTGATCCCAGTGGTGGCTGACCAGCAGCAGCCTGCCTTCCAGCCCTGGTACAGGCACCCCACCCAGAGACCTTGTGTTACTTAAGACAGGCTTTGGCTCCAGGGGCAGCCCATTGGAGCTCCTAAGTCACCCACTTACCCTGCCCCCACAGAAAGGGGACATGACCCCTCTGCCTGGGGTTCTTCTACATGGGGCAGCTTGGGCCCTTCTCCCTCCATAGATTTGGGAATGCTGTTTATATGATTCACCATTACTAAGTGAAGCTGCAGAAAAGGGCTCCCAACCTCTAACCAAAGAAGCAGGAGATAGAAGTTGATCCAGGGTCTTACCTCAGAGAGGTCTGGATGCCACCGTCCATCTAGATCTGCAAGTTGCACTGCTTGATGTGTACAGTACACAAAGTTTGGTGGGACCCTCAGCTTGACACTGGCTTGCTGTGAATACCAGGTTTAAAGCCGTGCCATGAAGAAGAAATCTTGTCAATAGGCTACTGAAACTAACACAGGAGAAGAGAGTAGAAAGGCCACATCTTAAAATTAGTTTAACAGAACTGAGGTCTCTGCACATTTTAGCATGAAGAACAGCCCTCCTAAACTATCTGTCCTGAGACTATTTTGCTCCTGTAGCAGGAGCAACCCCTAGTTGACACTGCTGGGGCTGGGGGGAGGATCTGCAGGGTCTCACCAGACCAAAGACAAGGATTGGGAAGGAGAGTGGCAAAGGGACCCACAGGCACCTGTTTGTTACCCTTGCCCTCAGAGCATGTGTATTGGGGTGCCAGGGGACGTTGTGTATACAGTGACTTCTGGCTGCTAACTTAACGATCCTGAAACCTGTCAGCAGAGAGTTAGAAAGCAGGCACGTCTCTTGAGGACCTATCGTCATCTTTCCAAGGTCACCTTTGGGACTGTGCAAATAGGAGACCTAATCTCTCCTCCTTTGCTAGTTTCTGTGTGTACATCCTTAAAAAGCTGGGTCTTTCCACTTCAGTTTGGTCATGGCTCTCCAGAATTTGCTCCCAGTGAGCAATTCCCATGTAGTGTTTGTGTGGCTGGGAGAGTCAATAATTGAAGTCCCTCATCATGGAGGGGATTATTTTGTACTTCTCTGGCTGGAAGGGCATGCCTCCCTCCCCTCAGGGGGTTTAGTTATGCTGTCATGGGATCTGAAAACTGCTCAGAGTCACAATCTGCAAGTGCCTCCTTGTGCCTCTACAATAACAGGTGTGAACACAAGTGGGTGCGTGCAGTGCCTATAAAGTCACCGTGGAAAGCTTGGCATGTGAGGGTGCACCACTGGGTTCCTGCTCTCTGCTCAGCTGTGCTGTTGTGATGGGTGAGTTATCTTCCCAGCAGCACTCTGCGTTCATGGGTGGTGCTGGGCTCAAACAAGACCTGACCGGGGTGAGTATGCAAAGACACAAGAAGATTAGCAAGACAGTAGCCGTGATCTTGCCTGGTTGATGTGTGCAGCCAGGCACTCTGGTAGCAGAAGGAACGCAAGACCAAAGCACCAACTGACACACGTTTGGTGCCAGCCTATGCTTCCCCCAAGCTACCTATGCCCTGTATTTCTATGTCCTGTCAAGGGAGGTTAGTGTGGAGACCTAGATTTCAACTTGGTCCTTTCCTTTCCTGGTCAATGCATGGGGTACATGTGTTTGAACAGGGGTCTTTCCCCAGGCATGATGGCATCTCCCCCAGCAACTGAACTAGTGCAGGCTGTAGGGCGTGCTTGTGACAAGCACAGAGGGTTTGGGCTTGTGTCACTGTGTGCGCCCAGGAGATTTCCTCCTTTCTGCATGGGAGCTGGTATCTGTGCAATAGGGCCCATCCTTTGGATATGGTTTCCTAGTAGCTGTCATTGGGCTGGAGTGGCTTATATAAAAGGCTTAAGCAGTTCTCCAAAAAGAACTGTTTCTTGTGATCCCTCCCCCTGGCAAGCTACTTTCCCCAGACCTAGCTGTGTCATTGTCCTCTTAGCTACTCTTGGGCTGTAGGTTCTGAGAACAGATCTGCAGAGTGCTGTAGGGGCAGAGCCTGCACCAAAGCTGCAGCTTCCCTGTCCTGTGGCTCTGCCTTCCCTTGTCTAAGCTCCCTGGGTGCCATTGGCAAGGGCAGAGGGGACTGCCCAGGGATCTTAATGGTGCTGGGCTCTTTCCTCCCTAGGGTTCCAGGCTGGGACAAGTTGGCTTCATGGGGACCTTGTCCTTCTACACACGATGGTGGTGATGCTTCTCCTCTGTGCAAGTGCTAGCCCAGCAGTACCCACTGCCAGCTCCCGGAGTGGTAAGTATGGAGTGGGTGGGGGGCACTGGCTGAGAATCAAGGATGCAGAGCAGGAAAGTGTGTCCCTAGCTCAACAGTGACTCTCAAGTCTGCTAAGTGCTAGGAAGGCCAGCATATACCCAGGCTGATGGACAAGAATTTCTCACATACACAAACCCCTGGGCTGTGGTTTGTAAGGTAAGCAGCCTGACGCCTGTCAAGACATCTTCTACCCCTTGGTGGCTCTATGCTGAAACCAAAGGGTTTCTGCCCAAACACTGTAACTTGGCAGGAATACTCTGCAGTGATTGTGTCTTTTTACACTTCAGTTCTAGGAGAAATCCTCTCAGCAATTTTTGGAGGTTTTTAGCTCTTGTTGGATTAGGTATATTCCTTTCCTCCCTGCAAGGAGGGGTGACACTCCCACAAGAACTGTGTGATCAACAAATTCATGGGCTGAATTGGAACTACCCCAAGCAAGTTGTGCCTCATCAGAAATAAAACAAGAAAAACATATTAGAAAGCATATTAGTTTGGCAAGTAAGTAATGACAGATCACTCCTGCTAAAACATAAACTGCAAGAAGCTGGGGGAAGAGATCGAAGTAGAACTTAGCCTTCTTTTGCAATGCCATGGCTCCCCAGGGAAAACATAAATTTTCATTACATATCCTCACCAGTAGAGCATTTTGGACACTTTTGATCCTTGCAAGAGCTGAAGTGCAATATATAAAGACCTTGACTTACTAGGCTAGGTATACTTGGAGGACATCGCTGGCATCTGGAAGATTTTTTCCCTCTTTCTTGGAGACATGCATTAGAAGGCTCCAAATAAAATAGCAGGTAATGAGAAATAGATCCTAGGGCTTTTGCCAGGCCCACTGTCTTAGTGACCTTTCATTGCCCTATGGATGAGCCGGTGGAAAAGCCACTCTGTAGAGTAGATCACAGGTAAAACCAGCTCTTTTTGTCCTGACTCTGCTGCAGGAGCTCCTTGTTGCCGTGACAGATTCATATGACCCTATGTAATGTTGAGTTGATGGTTGGACTAGATGATCTTATAGGTCTTTTCCAACCTTAGTGATTCTGTGACCCTTCTCTGTCCCACCCTACCCTGTGTTTGCCACTGCTGCTGTTGCAGGGTTCCCCACAGACTGCAGCCGTCTCCGCAAGACCAGCCCCAGCGGGGTGTACGTCATCCAGCCAGCGGGGTCACCCCCACGAGTGGTGTGGTGCGACATGGACACCGAAGGCAAGGGCTGGACTGTCGTTCAGAGAAACTCTCATGACACTGAGATCACATGGAAGCAATCTTGGACCACCTACAAGTACGGCTTTGGGAATGTGCAGGGAGATCACTGGCTAGGCACCGAGTACCTGCACCTGCTGACACAGCAGGGCACCTACAAGGTCCGCTTCATTGTGCGGAATAAAGCCAACATCACCCATTATGCCGAGTACGACATCTTCAGGGTGGAGAGTGAGGCTAGTGGGTACCCGCTGCGGCTGGGCCGGTTTACTGGTGATGGGGATGACTATCTGACCAGCTATCACCCCAAGAAGGGTGGCATTCATGACAATATGAAGTTCAGCACAACCGACAGGGACCAGGACCAGTACAGTGGGAACTGTGCCAACAGCTATGGGGGCTGGTGGTATGACAGGTGCCAGAATGTCCTGCTGA